AAAAAAGATACAGGCAGGGTGTGAACCCTGGGGAACCATGGTTTCCATGGACATCTCAGGCTTGTGCAAGCCTGTAGGCCAGCTACATAGTGGGAGGGAGTTGGGCTGGCCCAGGGAGCACCTCCAGGGCCCCCTCACTGACTCAGAAATGCCAGCTGGAGGCCGAGACCCACCCCAAGGAAGGGAGAGGATGGCTGAGATTGAAGCTAGGAAAGTCTGGATGGGTTGAACTGCCCCAGGGTCTTGGGGCTGACAATGATCACCTGCTGATGCTGCAGTGCTCACTGGCCAAACACAATGAGCACCCATTATATGTCAGGCACACTAGATGAGGTCAAAGAATAGTGAGACATATGCAGAGAACAAGATAACAGCCCTTCTGTCAGCCGGGCAGCCTCTGGCCAGACCCAGGGCAGCAAGACAGCAAAGGGGGCTCCCGACACCACACAGGTACAGTTCTCACCTGGGCACAGTCTCTCTCTTTCCTGCCTGGGACACTCCCTGTGCTAAGACCTGGACTACAGTAGGGGAAGCAGCTGGCCAGGACCTGGGAGATGGTCAGGAGTCATGCAGGGTGACAGCACACACTACCCATTCTTGTTTGCACACAGAAGGGGCTGCAGGGAACAAGTGAAGCTGGTGCTATCCTGGGACCTGTAGGAAGGTGACCAATACTATCCCTAGGCCAGCAAGATGATATGGCAGGCTTTCTGGAAGCAGACGCCAAGGTCCCACAGGGTGTGAGGCTCATCTTCCTGAACGTCAGCTCTTTTTTGTCCTGGCCAACACTGGGTTGCCATTTACGAAGACACTGCTGTGCTTGGCCCACATGAACCTAAGAAGCCGTACATCCAGTCACCTCTCCCTTGCTGCTCCAAACCAAAAGACCTGGCATGAGATGGGGGGTCTTCTCTTGTCCTACAATACAGCAGCTAAAATGCCATAAGGTGAAAGTACATAGTGCTGCAACGGACACAAGGAAGCAGTACAGCTGGGTGGTCCCATGAGGGTTCCTCTCACAGATGGGGCACGTGCCAAGCCCCACTGAGAGGCGAAGAACCAGCAGGCAGCAGCTTTTGTCTCCTGCCTTGCAGCTAATGTTCCCACTGCCCCTGAAGCTTCAACAAATGACACCGTGGGACTCAGGAGCAGGTGAGACAGTCAAACATCAAAGATACAGTCCTGCAAGGGGGCTGTCAACAAGAGTGTTCCTGCATTCTGCCTGGGCTAGAACCCATTGTTGGGTGTGTTCAGAGCCCATGATGCAACTACACTACTCCCAGTGTGAGACAGCCTCCACCCTGGAAGGACAAGTCCCGGGCTCTGTGCCAGTCTGGCAAGCTCACCTTCTTACTGAGCTGATGGTTCTCCTTCTCCAGCTCCCCACACTTGAGGCTGCTCTCCTCCAGTGCCAGGGATGCATCTCGAAGTCCCTGGATCGTGCTCTGAAGGCTCTGGTTCTCCTTCTCCAGCTTTAGGATGCGGCTAGAAGCGCATTCGTTCAGCTCAAACACAAATGACTTCCTGGAGGCTGAAGCACAAAGTGGGTCAGAGCCCATGCTCTGGAGCCTCCACTTCCACTCTTCCCAGAGCCGCACACCTCGAGCCCAGTTTGGTACCCACTTCTGGCTCCTCCACTCCCACCTCTCTGCTAGCTTAGTTGGGCTTAAGAAGAGAGCAGGTTGCAGGGCAGGAGCCAATGCAGACGCTAAAGATCATGTAACTTGCAGGGACCATTTGCTTACCACGCTGTTAATCTGGTGGCCTATTCAAGGACTGCAGAGACCAACAGAGAGAGCTAACAGGCAATGTTTCCTGTGCCCACTGCAAAAGCAGCACACATCAGGACTGCTCAGCAGGAAAGGCAGTTAGTGAGCAGCGGTTCTGCTGCAGGGGGTGGAAAGCTATGCTGCCCAGTGCCTGCCAGCCTGGGTGAGAACCTTGGCACAGACTTCTTCTTATGACTGTATAAGTCATACTTAAGCAAATTGAAAGTTACGCAAATGGCTTTAAAAATTCCAAGTGCGATAAACATATAAGCTAAAGATTTTTTTTTTTTTTTTTTTTTTTTTTTTTTTTTTTTTTTTGGTACCGGGGATAGAACTTGGGACCTTGCACTTGGGAGACATGCAGTGCAACCACTGAGCTAAATACCTGGACCTAAGCTAAAGATTTAAAAGAGGCAGACTGTCTACTCTGGTTTTGAGCAGCTCAAATGTAAGCAGAGATGGGAACACAGTCCTGAGACAGGACCACAGCAGGTGAGTCGGGGCTTTGGGGGAAGAAAGGCCTCTGCAGGAGGGCTCAAGGCTGCTTCGCCCATCGTGAGCTGAGCCTGAGCACACTATGCTGCTAACACAGGGGTCTTCACCCCACATACACACCTGCTCCTCAGTCATCACCTTCTAGGCTGTGAGGATCAGAGGCTGTGGGTTTTCACAGCAAACCCCCCACATGCAAATGTAGAATGAAGTGTGTGCTCAGACACCCTGGGTGAATGAAAGGGCTATCAGGTCTTTCTTTTTCCCCTTCGAGCTTCCGAGCTTCCATTCTCTACCAAGGCCAACAGCAGGGGTGGAAAGGAACAACAGGTAAGGTAGCAGTGTCCAATATGTACACAGATGAAGACATCTGGGGCTTTGTCCTGATTATGCTACCCCAAAAAACCCTAACCTAACCTAAATTAATATACCAACCTAAAATAAACCTAAACTAACTCAGAATCTCTGGTCACCTGGACAGTACCTCTGGCATTTGTGGGGGAAAAGGAAGTTTTTTATTGGGGTAAGATATACATAAGAAGCACAAGGACCCGAGTTCAATCCCCAGTACCAAAAAAAAAAAAAAAAAAAAAAAAAAAAAAAAAAAAAAAAAAAAAAAAAAAAAAAAAAAAAAAAAAAAAAAAAAAAAAAAAAAAAAAAAAAAAAAAAGATATACATAAGATTTACCACATTTTTAAATGTGCAGCTCTGTGGGCTTAGGGGTGCTCACGTGTTCCCCCACCATCACCACCCTCCATCTCTTTCTCGTCTTCCCAAACTGTCACTGTACCCATGGAGAGTAATTCTTGAGCTTTTACAAGTTGAACAATGGAATCGACAGCAGGCAGCTTACTACCCAACAACCAATGGTTCTCCACTGAGCACCCTGCTCATCAGCAGCCCCAGCAACCAGGATCTGCTTTAATAGATGAGGACGCTGCCCCTCTGCAGGCCACCAGGGCCAGGAGAAGGTGAGTCTTCCCCATCTTACCTCATCTGGACTCACAGGAGGCAGTGAGCACCCCATGGGGCAGGTTCACTACCCTCACTCTGCAGATGAGGAACTCAAGTTCGAACAGGTTACATATTCGCCCTGGTCAGCCACTTACCAAGTGGGGGAGCCAAGACTCTTAATCCAAGTCACACCATACATTCAAAGTATATTCTGGGGGCTGGGGTGTAGCTCAGTAGTACATTGTGTATTCAGCATGCAGGAGGCCTTGGGTTCAATGCCCAGCACCAGAGAAAAAAGTCTAAAACACATGGAGTCAGGCACAGTGGCACACGCCTACAGTCCCAGGTACTCAAGAGGTTTGAACCCAGGTGTTTAGGGCCAACCTGGGCAACACAGCAAGACATAGTCTCTTTAGGAAATAAGTACTTTAAAAAAATTATAAGAACAAATCTTCAGGCTTTGCTTGTGCTGTTTCACACAAGACATTATCACTATCACTAAGAATAAATCGTAATTATTGACCTTGAAAGGCTCACAAACTATACTGAAAGAGTCCATTGGTGAGGACTTCCACGCCACCAGCCACACTAGTCTCAGAACTTAACGCAAACATGGACCATGTGACAGACAGAGGCAGCAGTACCACCTCTGTGCAACCAGGGGGCAGCGGTTCCCCCCAGTGGACTTGGATGTCAGAGGCAGGGGAGTCTGCAGCTTCCACCCCGGACATCTCCCAGACTCTGGCACAGGGCACAGGCCCCAAAGCACAGACAGAAGTAACTGTTCATAGTAACAGCTCATAGTAACTAACTGAGTCTAATTTTGGAATGGACAGGAGTAAATATTCAGCTGCTTTCAATAATGTATTATTCTTAGGGATGCTTACTAGGATTTTAAAAAGCCACAACCAGAACAAGCCAAAAGCCCTACCACACTCTGTGAAAGGCTAAGTAAACATTAACTTGAACTATCAGGTGCACAGGAATGGTGAACGGGTGCTATTTTCAAACACAGGAACCAGCTCATTGTTTGCCTGGCGCTGAAGCTTCCTGCTCCAGTGCTGCATGCCTGCCCCTCCACACCCCCCTCCTTCCCACAACTGCCACGTTATATTGGGGGGGGCCAGCAGAGGGCAGCCATGCAAGCCCCAGAGGACAAGGCCTGGCAGGTCTTGGGAGCAGCAGCCACTGCACATCTTCACACAGAAGAGAGAGGACAGGCTGCATCCATCTTGCCCAATTATGCAAATAAACTGAGGAAGTAATGCCCAGTGTACATTTATAGCAGCTATTAGAGACCACTGGGGACTCTCCTGCCATCCAGGGCTTTCAGACATCCAGACAGGCTTAAGATGTCCCCTGGGTGTCAGTGTGCCATGATCTGGAAGCTCCTGAGTGGCCATATGGGAACCTGAGCAGCCTAGCAACACTTAATTTGTATTTTGCGTCCTGACATCCAGGCTGCCAGACCCTTGGAACTCTCCAGGGGGAGGACTGTAATGAAACAGTTCCAAATGGCTCTTGAAGGGAATTATATTCACTTGGGGTGAATGGATGGGCCACCATGAGGATTCTGTGCCAGGACTTGGCTGTCTGGATGAGGACACAGTTGCGGTCCGGCTGGCTCTTGGCAAGGCGCTACCTACCATCTGACAGCTCTGCGTTCTTAGATAGCTGCTCTAGTTCCCAGCCCAGGTGGGCTGATTCGTTCATGCTCTGCTTCTGGGCAATCTCCAGAACCATGTTTTCTTCCAGCAGCTCCTCTATTCGCTTCTTATCTGTGTCTCGGTCCTAGGGCAGGAGAGGGAAGGAATGAGGCCAGGCCCTGGTTGGGCCCCAGACCAGGGCATCCATCCACTGCCAGCCACTGAAGATGTAGGGATGGTAGGTGCCTGCTCATTTCCAGACACAGAGCTGCAGAGTCCACCACATAAGCCCCCCTGTGACAGTGACAGCCATCAGACTGGCCACATAGGTTCCAGAGAGAAGCCCAAAGACTCTAACCAAATGCTGAGTGATCATGGGACACCCTGAGCAGGGCTCTCGAGCAGGCACTTTGGTGATGGGCAGTTCTGTGGCTCTGGAACCTCAAAAGCTCTGCAGAAGCAGACATCCCTGCCCCACCCACAGTGGAAACCCCAGCAGGGATGTTCACCCTTACAGAAAAGCAATGCAGAAGTCAGGCTTAACTGCTTTGAGGCGTTAAGTGCCCACTCAAGCCCGCTGAGCTCACAGCCAAAACATCAGAAGGGCCTGGCCCACACCCCACCCGGATCCACACATGGCACCTGCACAGCTGCCAATACCAATTCCAAGTCGTGCAGCTTGGATTTCAGCTGCAGGTTCTCCTTCTCCAGCTCGTGGACTTTGTCACCGCGCGCCCGGGCAGTGGTCAGCTGCTCCTCCAGCATGGCCTTGGTTTCAATTAAGATGATGTTGTCTTCTCTCAGCTCCTGGGGAGCAAAAGCAGGGAGGAGGTGCCAGACTCAAGTCATAGGATCCTCAACCCAAGCTCTTTCAGACCACCTCAGTCCAGGCACAAGTGCGTGACAGAAGGTCTGACTCCACTTTTTATCATTCTTACCTTTTTCCATGAGGCAAGGACTCGTGGACTTTCTCTACTAAAAAACAAATCCAGAAATCAAGAAAATACTGAACTTGGAAAAAGCAGGCCAGGACCAGGGATTGGCTAAGGCGTTGACACTGAGGACCTCACTCAATGGACAAGGGAACCCTGTTGAAAGACCCACCACTTCTCTCATCTGCGTTTCCTCAAGTTAGGGGGAGGCTGAGAATCTATGAGGGGCCCCCAGGTCTGAGTGTGTTCCATTCAACATTCATCCCACCAATCAGCATCCTAGAAAAAAGTGGCCATTCAGGAGGCTTTCATGTAGCACACAGTTGCTATTTGAGTATTTTACACACGTTCCCTTGGCCAAACAAAAGTGCTCAGCAGTTTCCTGGAAATGTCTTTACAGCAGTTAAGTTGCAGCACAGCAGACCAAGCAAACATGAGCCCCACAGAGCCATACTGCTGAAGGGCCCACCGGGTCTGTGGGCCACCCTTCTGCAGGCCCTAGTCCTGGGCCCTCTCAGTATCTCTTGTCCTCTGACCCTGAGGCCCAACACACCTACAGATTACATCGTGGGTTGAGGCAGGAATTTCTGTTTATTCATTACACACTCACATCTCCATCTCCTGATGGGCCCAAATCCAAGGCTCTCTGTGAAGGGGAAACCACCCGCTTTCCCTTTGGGTGGCAGTTTTGATCAGAGCCTGGCAGCCAGGCACAGCTTGCTCCTAGACTCTGGGCTGTCCTGCATGTCCTCTCTCTGTCCCTCCCCTGCAGTGGTCCCCAGTCACCAGCCCTCCTCCCTGCAGCAGCACTCAGGGGGCGGGGAACAGCCTCTTCGATGATAAAGGACTGACTCAAGTACGCTAAGGATCAAGTCCAAAGTCACAAACCCACTAAGGGCCAGAGCTGAGCTTGGACTGCTTCCCCAACTATCCTCAGTCAGCCCCCTAGATCCCATCTTCGGGGGGCTCACATGGGAAGAGAGGCCCAGACTACTGCTAATGATGTGGAGCCAGAGGATGAGGGTTTCAAGCAGGAGGAAGGCCCAGCCGCCCCTCTCTGGTTGCTGCCTGCCCTGTTTTCACCCCATGTTCCAACAGGGTCTACCTATCCCTAGCCAAAGCCCTTAGCAACCACAGCACAGGCTGTTCCTTCATCCTCACAGCCAACTACTACAGCCTTCGAGAGTTGACATGAGCTGCCCCTCTGAGAAGTGCTTGAGCCCACTCCCTCCTACTGCTGAGTCAGGTATTTGAGCTCCCATATTCCCTGGGCCTGCTCTCCTCTCTGAGACTCCTCAGGACAGGCCCATCCCACTTCCCCTTTCACGAGCCTCACATAAGTATTCAATGACACCTGTCAATCACATAGCAAGGGGACAGGGTGACTAACGAGGTGGGCTTTGAAGGACTTGGACACTTTCAAAGTCAGGGGTGAACAGAGGTGGCAGGAGAGGAACACAGCATCCAAAGGTATGGTTCCTAACTGCCATTCAAATCCTCCTCAGTTTCCCTGTGGTTTCAACCTCCCCTGTTAACAAGCAGCAGAAATATCCCAACCTCCCACCTGCCTTGTGATGGCTTGTGTTCACATGTCTCCCCAAAGCCTCATCTGGATGAGGTAGGGCTTCCTTTTTCAGAGGTGGTCACATCTGGAATGTGTGATGCTGGAATTAAGGGCGTGTGATCACTACACATGAGCAGTTTGGTACCACCCGAATCCCAGTAGTCTGGGTGGGATGAAAGGGGCAGAAAGAGGATGTTAAAGTCCCACTTGTTGCTTTTGCTACTGTGTGGGCGCCATGAACTGTTTCTCCTCTGCGACACCCCTCCGCCAAGTGCCACCCAACCTTAGAGCCAGATGATTATAGACTGAAATCTCTACGAACTGTAAGCTAAATAATCACCTTTCTCCCTTTAACTTCGGGTGTGAGGTTTTTTATCTCAGCCGGAGAAAAGTAACTAAGACATACCTCACATACTCAGGACCTCAGAGGTGAGCAAGAAGAGTGGAAAGACCCATGCCAAGCTTCCACAAGCCCAGCATTCCACCCAGGGGGAATGCAGGAGAAGGCCAATCCTGTGTCTCTGGGCTGCTGCCCACGGCCACTTGCCTACCACAGCCAATCCCAAGTGAACCAGGAGGCTATTTAAAGGTTGATCTAGCCCAGCTTAACTTATGAACTCATAGGCTGGACTTCAGGGCTTGTCCCCAGGTAGCTGACAAATCTATTCTTTTCGAGAGTGAGTAAATGTGTACTAGTGTGTGTATGGTCTGGGGAATGAACCCAGGGCCTTCTGCACTGAGCTACATTTCCAGTCTTTTTTTTTTTTTTTTTTGAAACAGGATCTTGCTAAATCACTAAGTTGCCCAGGGTGGGCTCACATTATAGTCCTCTGGCCTCACCCTCCCAGAATGCTGGGATTACAGGTGTGCAGCATCATGCCTGCCTGAGAGTCAACTTCTAATGTGCTACGAGAACTTGCAGCTCCAATCAGGCATAGAGGAGACTGGGGCAGTCCCCATGTCTGCCATGGACTCTATATACAGGGTTCTTCCTTCCTAAGAAGGGCATGAAAACAAGGAGATGTGGGTTAGATAAAAGTGTGTAAAACCTAACATGCACAGTGTCTGGGACTCGCCAGCTGCTGTCACAGTCACCTCATGGCCTACAGGACATGGTGCCCCACAGCACTCACCCCCAGAACAGCCACAGGTTAATGGGCAAAAACTGGTTTTCAAGGGCTGCCAGAGGTGTGGCTCAATGGCACAGCACTTGCCTAGCAAGAATGAAACCCTGGGTTCCATCCCCAGTACAAAAGAGAGGGAAAAAAACTAAACTCAAAACAAAATATGGTTTCCATGGGGAACTCTCGCCCCCCTCACAAGCATCAAACACCAAAGGGGATGCAGAGTCACAGAAACAAACAGCTCCCTTCCAGCAAGCTCCAGATCACAGTATCACATGGCTACCATGGGCTCCCTGGTGTCCAGAGCAATAGAGAACCGGCAGGGCCCTGAGGAGGAGGGATGGCCTGGCCACTGGAGTCAGGCCTGGAAACTTCTACTCAGTAAAATCAGGCCTGACCAATCCTACTGTTTGGCTGGCCTCACTGAAATGCCTTCTGCTCCCCAGGAATCCCACTTGATTTATGCACGGCCCAACCCATGAGCTAGGCATGGTGGCACAAGCCTATAATATAACCTAAGTACTTGGGAGACTGAGGAAGGACGATCACAAGTTCAAGCCCAGCCTGGGCAACTTAGTGACTTAGTGAGACCCTGTCTCAAACAAATACAAACATCAAAAAACAAACAGTGGTTTCGATGCCTGCCTTGCAACCGCAAGATCCTGAGTTCAATCCCCAGCACAAAACAAACAAAAAAAAAAAACAGTAAAGGTCTGTCCAGCTCAGGTATTCCATATGCTGAATCTCATCAGAACTCCCTGGAAGAAACAATCATACATGTACTGCCCCACGCTGAAGCAGATTTCCCTGGGTTTGTGGTATTCTAAGTTAAACTCCCTAGATTTAAACACTCCGGCTTATGACATGAAACTTTAGCTCCAAGTGAACTGTGAGAGGCTGGGGCACTCCCTGGGCCCACCCGAGGGACCCTGGGGGCAGCATGCACTGCAGTTCTCCAGTGCCTCTAGACCACCCCCCCAGGACCCCTCCCTGCTTGTCTTCTGGAGGGGAGGCTCACACCAGCGCATTCCATCCCAGTCCACATGCTTATCAACTGCGACACTGGGTGTTATTAATTCATCTTCAATTTCTCATCTACAAAAAGCAGAGGAAGTCACTGTGGCTACCACAATTTGCAAGGGCCACCATGAGGTTTAAATGAAATGACTCAGCTGAGCTCCACAGGGCTCCTGGCCCCATAAACACAGTTGCTACTGCTCATTTAAAAGCTGCACAGAGCACCTGCGGACCACAGGCTACATTCTATTCAGCCCTGCAGGTCACAGTCCTGTCACAATTACACTGCGCTGCAAAGGAAGCACAAGGCCCCCCCAGATAACAAATGGGTGTGGCTGTATTCCAACAAATTTCATTCGAAGGGGATTTCTAAAGGAAACGTGAGGCCAGGGCCAGCAGAGCTCACCACCAGCCCTAATCTGGCCCTGGCCTGGGACTCCTGAGTCTGAAGGGGACACAGAGGGTGGGCAGGCCCAGGAAGCACCTGTGTGAAGCTGGAAGGAAGGGCTGTGCTCGTGAGGGCAGCGATGGAATGAGATTTCATCCTGGGAGCAGCAGAGAGGCGCCTGAGGAACTGCTGGAAAGGCCATGCTGGCAGCAGGACACAGGGACACACAGGGCCAGTTTAGATCTGGGGACAGCATCCTGCCTACAGGCACTGAAATAATCTGCAGGCCCAGGACATGAGGAAGCTGGACACGTACACTCATCAAGTTCCTGCCTTGTATGGTGACATGGCAGATAAGGGAGGACAACACTAGGGCTGGGAAAAGGAAAGAACAGAGACAGCCTGAAATTTGGCTTAAGTCCCTGAGCTAGTGGACAGTAACTCCAGCGTAGAGACAGCATGGTCAGGTTTGAAGGGGAAAGAAAGAATGTGACACAGTAACCCTGAGACTGCTGTGCATATCCAGTTCTAGACAGCCAGAGAGGGAGCCAGCCTAATGATTAAGGCACTGGACTCAAATAAAGGAAGATTTCCCAAGCACCTTCTCCCCTGAAGGAGGCAGATACTTTGGGGAGATCTGCAGGAACCTTGCAGTAAAGGCAAGCAGGCTGCCTGGGGCCTGACAGGCCAAACCCATAGCAACTGCCCCACCCCAGGCACCACCACTGTCATCGTAGGTATGGCTTTAGACTGGGGGACAGACAGCCCGAGACTGATCATTAACCCAGCCCTAACTGCTGGTGCCTTGCCAGCAACCCACCCCACCTCTCTGGCTGCCTCCTCACTGTGAGATCTGGTCCAGAGGCCTTATCTCCTCTCTCCTCCCAGCACAGAGCTGGCCAGGATAAGCACATTGCACATAGTCCTGGGCCCAGGAGGCCAGGGCACCAGGGCTTTGGAGACGCCCAGACCAGGCCCCTTCCTCCCACAGATGGGACATATGTGCCCAACACCCAGCAAGTTGGTGTCACAGCCAGGACTGTCCTCACTGAGTCTTGGCCTCTCCGGATGCTTATTTTGAATCCACAGCTGCCTAGAAAGCTGTCAGTCCACACAAGAGCTAGGAAAGACCCAGGTCCACTCTGCCTGGGATGCACACAATGTCTGTGCATCTACCCTTGGCTTTGTGGAAATTCTCAGCCAGTCATAAAATATAGGAAAGAGAAGATTCCGAGCAATGTCTCTCCTCCACCCTCCCCCGACACAGCCCTCTGCCTGAGCCTCTGGTCTCATTTGCTCGGCCCTGAGCATGACTGCTGTTTGCAAAGGGAAGTCAAGGGCAGTCGGGGACCCACCTCATATTTCTTGCCATTCCAGGGTCACCCACGCTGCTCCTCTTTGTGTCTTTTCAACTCTTATGTAAACTAAACCAGGACCAGATGCCAAAAATTTAAAACAACCTATGTGGACTTGTGTCCCATGTTTTTCTATCCAAAATTAACCTCACCTCATCCTGACTGTGTCCTTGAAGCACCACCGTGCTCGCTCTCTGGTGACCTGTGTCGGTGTTTCCCAGACCCAGGCTGGGCAGGCTCTCAGGGAGGACGCCCAGTTCCACCACAGGACCTAGAAACGTCACACCTATAGACAGCCTGCACAACAGCATGGCCAGGTTCCTGCTTCTGCTTGCCTGCATATTGCGTCTAACACCACTGACTCCAATCTGGAGGAAACAAACCCTCATGGTGTTCCCTGGCCTTTCGCCCAGACTGCAAGACTACTGCAGAGAGTTGGGGCTCCTCTGCCTGATGCCATGGTCCCTGAGGCTGTGTGACAGGCTCTGTGCGTGCAGTCAAGGAAGATAGGGTCCCCACCCTTGGGAAGGGCTCAGCACCACACACTGAGCCCACAGAGGGTCATGCCCAGCCCACAGATGGTCCTGCAAGCCCCATCCATGGCAGGAGGAAGCCCCAAGCACAGAGCTTCAGAAGAAAAACACCCTGCCCCAGCCTGGGAGAAGGGAAGGTCCAAGGGAGAGAGCTCACATAAGACAGATTTCCAAGACCTGCTCCCTAGGGTCTGGAGAGTCAGAAAAATGCATATTTTGTTTGGTACTGGGGATGAATGTTTTACTATTATACATCTGCCAAAGTCAAAATAATTGCACCACACACACACACACACACACACACACACACACACACACACACACACACACACACCTGTATGCACACACCACCTAGAGTCCACAACCAACATTTACTATATTTGCTCTGTCATGTACCTACCTGTCCATCTAGCCAGCCCTCTATCCATTTTACTTTTGTTTATCCTTGGATCTTCTTTAAGATCTGCACATCTGCAACTCAGCCTCAACTCACTCATTTCTGCACGGTATTGTGAGCTTATAAGTGCTTAGAAAGTATTCCTTTTTCTTCAGTACCAGGAATTGAACCCAGGCCTCACACATGCTAGTCAAGCTACAAATGAGCTACATTCATAGTCCTTTTTCAAAAAAATTGCATTTTGAGACAAGGTCTCACTAAGGAGCCCAGACTAACTTTCAACTTGCAATCCTCCAGCCTTAGCGTCCGCAGTAGCTGGGATTACAGGTATATGCCACTTTACCCAGGGCTTAGAAATTATTCTTATCTCACTAGACATCCTTTGGAAATGTGCATTACTATACCATGAAAGAATCTGGATTTTCATATTAAGTTGGATACACTTCTTATTCAAACACAAACATGGATCCAACAGTCATCTGTTCATGAAGGCAGTGCAAGCCCCTTGACACAAAGCCCACTAAACACTAGAGAGACTGACTATGCTGGGCACAGACTACTGCTGCTATTGGGGGACAAGGCCCCTCTCAATCCTCAAGGACCCAGACAGCACCCGGGCCTCATGGCAAAGCAGCCTATCTCATGGTCTCTAAGCTACATTCTGCATTAACTCCAACACACACTTAGGTGCTCAGGTCGGCAGCCAGCCAGAGGAAGCCTGTGCTCCTGAACTTGGCCTCTGCTGTATCTGAGGAGCTGGGGGCTCACAAGTGCAGCAGATTCAGTGCTGCCCAAAGTGAACTGCAGGAGAGAATTCACTTAACAAGTGTTTCTCCAAACCCTCTGCATATGAAGGGCTGTTCCAGAGGCTAAGAACAATGCAAACCAGGCTGCTGTCCCAGGAGTCTATTCCATCTGGATTTGGTGGAGCCACCTGCCCACCAGCATCCACACGAGTCCCACAGCAGGGGAGAAATGACACCGTGCTCCTTAGGCCTTTTCAGCTGCCTCAGAAACTGCCTGGCTGGATGAGACACCGGGATTGTTCCCTACATCAAACAAGTCCCCTCAATAGGTGCTAATGTCCTGGTCTCCCCTCTGGGTGGAAGTGTTTACACAAGGGACCAGCACCACATCTAAAGCCCTGGGATGAGCAACAGGGACCGAATCTCAAAATCCTCAGGAAAGTGAGTTCTGGAAGCCACAGTGGACACAAGGCCACTGGGATGAGTGGTCAAAGCATCAAGGATCTCTCATGGGTCTCAGTTTAATTCTGACTTCCTCACTTGCACTAAACCAGGCACAGTGTTGCATACCTACAGAATGAGCACTTGGGAGCCTGGGGCAGAAGAATCCCTCAAGGCCAGGAGTTCAAGGCCAACCTGGGCAGCACAGCAAGATGTGGCTCAAAAAAATACAGGAATAACATAAAATAAAAGCACTTGGTAGAGCTTCTGCTGGGTGAGGATGTACTAGCTAACCTGGCTCTACACCAGTTACTGTGCAAGGATTTCACCCCTCTCATCTTTAAAAACCTGGTATTAGCATTCCTATTTCATTGATAAGGAAAGTGAGTCCTAGCAAATTACTCCAGAAATCACAAGAAGCCTTTAAACAAATCCACAAATGGAAGACCTTCAGGTGGCATGAAGTAGGAGAGAAAACCCTAAAAGAAACCACTGCCCTTCACCAACCAACCACGTTCCTTCCCTCATCCATGTGACACTTTGGGACAGGAAAGGATGGAGAGGGAGGCCCCAACAGGGGGTCCAGAGAGGCTGCAGCGAAGGGGACACTCCCACTGTGAAACTCTTAGGACTCCTCCCAGTCCTCCAAGGACAGACGGTATCCAGAAGCCCAGCCCAGGACGCCTACCTCCATTCGGGCCTTGTAGAAGTCCACATCGTGCAGCTTTTCCTTGCAGCGAACCAGCTCCATCTCTAGCCTCTCCACACGGTTTGCCTTCTCCCGAAGGGAGTCCAGCTCGTCCCGGTAGGCACGGGCAGACCGGGCATCGGCTGCCAGCTGTATGTTCTGTAGGGTGGGCAATAGCGGTGAAGACAGCAATAGGGCAACCCTCTGGGGAGGGGGCATCCCAGGAAAAGCCAGTTCCTGGGGGCTGAGGAGCTCCGTGGGCATGCTACCCAGAGGGGTCTCCAGAGGCTGTCACCCCAGGGGTTCCCAGGTCTGTGGGACCTGCCTGACCTCTGGGCCCCATCACTGGGGCATCCCAGCCCACACAGGCTCCTGCTCACCTCCTGTTTGACCTTCTGCAGCTCCAGCAACAGCTGGTCCACCTCATGCCTGGTGTCCACGAGCTGCTCTGTCTTCTCCTCTCTGTGAAGTGATTAGAGGGCAGAGTGTGTGTGAGGTGGGGCTTCTTCCTTGCAGGCCCTGGAAGCAGCCACCACTTCCAGGAAAGGAGGGGACTCAAGCTTCGGGGAGCTGGAAGTGGATACGCCCATGGGGCCTGCAGAAATGTTCCAGGCTTTGGATTCTTTTCTCAAGTTTCTAACAGTTCCCCTCAAACCACCACCACCTGCCAGCCAAGTCTCCCTCCAAGTACGTAAAGAGAGCCTGGCTGCCACTCTAGTGCTGTACAACTGGGCTTGCATGGGGCAAAGGGAGGGGAGATGAATGCAGACAACTGCCCCAGGGATGGGTAAATGACATTCATCAGCAGCAGGAAACGAGGTAAGGACCGGCTCCCCAGATGTGGCAAAGTGCCTCCACTCTCTACCCAAGAACACACCCCTACATGCAGCCATCCGAGCCCCACAATGGGCCCATGTGGGGACAGCAGTCTACTTCCATAGGCAATGTGTAATGTTTGGGAGCCAGAAGACAAGGGAGAAGCCCCCCACCACCACAGAGGAATGGGGACTGGTTGCTGGTCACCCAGCTCACTGGAGCAGCCCCGCCAGGCCCAGGGCCCTCCTGTTTGTAGCACCACATGTGCAAGCTGACTGCACACTAGAAACAGGTCTGTAGCCCCCACAAAGAAGAAGGAAAATCAGCCGGGCCACTCACAGGTCCTGCCTGACACGCCGAAGCCTGGCCTTGGTGTCAGCCAGCTCCACTGCCAGGTGCTGCTTGTCCTCACTGGAGAGGCTGCTAGTGGGGCTGGGTGTGGAGTCTGCACTGGACGACTTGATAGGGCTGGGTGGGTGCTGTGCCTGCAGGTAGTCCCGCTCCTGTGTCAGGTCTACAATCAGCTGCACCAGGCAGACAAAGGGCAGAGGAGGACACACAGGCTCACCAGGGGACTCCTGGAGACCACACAGTGCTCAGGCTAGCGTGGGTAAAACGCTACCCAAAGAGAAGAAATCTCTGCGGAGACTGAGAAACTAGGAGCAGGGCATTAAAAGAGAGTTAGTTGCACATTTTCTAAAAGAGGTGAGATACTTAGTGGAATAAGGAGGAGTGAATGAGAAGATGAGGGACCCCAAGCTCAGCGTCCTGGTAATTTCTGTCCTGTGGATGCCTCTGCAGTGACTTCACCCCAGAGGTCGTAGCCAAGGGGAGCACTCATGCCCCATCCCCACCAGACCCTGCGCAGTAGGACAGGGAGGGGCCAGGCCCAAGATGGAGACAGGAGAGAGAGGCAAGTGCGCCCCCACCCGCCCCCTGGCTGCAGCACACCTCAGTGCACTCGTCCCGCTCGTCGATGAGTCTGCGCAGGTGGAACACCATGCTCCTGGACAGGGCCTCCAGCTCCTCCGGGGCCACATCCGGCAGCTCCAGCCACTGCAGGTCGAACACGTTCTCCTGGTTGTGGGTCACCTGTAGGCACACAGTCCAGCACTGCGGAAGCCAGCACAGGTGGCCCTGGGGTCCTGAGCGCCTGTCTGCCCACAGCTACTGGGCAGAAGACCCAGGCAGAGACTGGAGCCTGGCTCACTGGGACATGTGACAGCACCTCATGTGCAAGACATTATTAATCCCAGACTGGCTGACATACTTCCTGCGGTGAGCAGAAGGGTTCCTTCAATGAGTTAGGCAAACTCTTCAGCGGAGCCTCACTAATACCAGCCACTTCTGCTTACAAGTCTTTTAATACCAGAAAGCACTTGGCACTGTTCCACTAAAAGGTCCCAGGATGGTAAGATATTTATCTGCACAGAGCTATATCAATTTACAACACAAAGAAGATTAGCCTCTGAAAAGGACGAGGACTACGACTAATGTTTCTTAAAATAAATTCACACAAAATGTTAAGCATCCTATGTCAGAATGGTGGGTGCCTAGCAATCCTGAATTCTGTAGGGGGAACTATTCAAAAAGCTAAAGCAATTTTCAGCTAAGCCCATTACGCATACAAGCCTCAGAAGACCACCTGGTTTTGTCCCTTTCCATCAGCAGGGATGTGGCGAGTTCTCTTATCATTGGAAGAGAAATATTATAGTGCTCAGGTCTCAAAGGGGAGAAAAAAACAAAGAAACCAGCCTATCTATACTTGGCAAAACACCCCAGAAAAAAAAATCTGAAATTATGCAGAGCAGTAGATGAAGACAGAGAATAGTTCTTTTTTGAAAAAGAAGAAAATAAACCCAAAGCATCAAAAGCAAAGACAAGATCATTTCAAGGACCTTTCAGTTCCTCCAAACACACCACCCTCTTTCTTCCCTCCCTCTCTGACAAAGGCCAAGTTTGAACACAGCTGACCCCTGAATTAGAGGAACCTGCATTCCATCAAACAGGTGGGAGCTGGGTCTGGGCCTGTTCTACACCAGGTCTGGAAAAATGAGTCTCGGGCCACCATGGTGGGCTTCAGGGACTCGATGAGTATGGTACAGTCACCCATGGAGCTTCAGGCTCACTTTCCTCTTCCCTTTGTTCTAACAAATAGATCCCTCATGGGTTCACCTGAAAATTTTTTTTTTCCTTTTACTGGGGATAGAACTCAAGACCTTGTGCTGCAAGGCAGGCACAGAGCCACTGAGCTAAATCCCCAGCCCTGGAACCTGAACTTTTAAAAAGCACCCAGTAAAATTTGAAACTTGTCCCCAGTGCCAACTACTGAATTTGATAATCACACAGAACTCTCCTGGTTGTGAACTTTCATTTATTTTAATATCCTGCTGTCTGGGCAGGCTGTAGTCAGTGAATGGCTACTGAATAGTCTCAAGGACCTCATCCCCAACCAGATTCATTTTCAAAACACAAGGAAATGAAAAGGCAGAACACATTTTAGACTGACAGGTGGCCAGGAATGGTTGAGAATATTTACTAAAGTACTGACTTTCCCTGGAGGCTGGCTCTGCTGGAACCCCTACCCTAAAATAAACTCTATGACAGCCGCTCCCAACCCCATCACCTGCATCGCCTATGAGAGCTCTATAGTCAGCTGCTGCTGCCAGTCACACACCAGCTCCTGTATATCTTCCACATGCCATTAATCTCCTCCATCTAATTAGACTGAGTGCTGAACCCATTTTCAGGTGGGTTCATGACCCTTGGGGAAGCCACTTTGGGCAGAGGGGTCCAGAAGGAGGTCTGGCCTGTCCTTTGCCCCCACCCTGGGGTTTGGGCTGGGGTTGAGTTCCCTGGGGCAGCCTCCTCCCAGAACTGGCTCATTTTTTGTTTTATTTTGTTTTTGGTACTGGGGATCAAACTCAGGTCCTCGCACTTGTGAGGCAGGCGGCCGAACCACTGAGCTAAATCCCTGGCCCTGGCTGGTTTTGATGTCCCACGAGGTGGCAGCCTGTTTTGCTGTGTGTCACTGACAGCAGCAGAGAATCTCTATAAAGATCAACCCATTCAGAGCATGGTGACAATTGCCAGAATACATTTCCAGGGCCTGTAAATCAAATTCTGAGCCTAAACCACTTGACAGCTCTTAAAAATAGTCTGAGTCCATATAAGGCAAGGAAAAGGAGGCAGAAGATGGCTTAACTGAGGTACTGTATTTTTTAAATTTTTTATTTTTATCCCTATTTTATTTTAGCTTGCTGAGGGCTACCTTCCCAAATAGAATCCATTTGTTAATCATCACTGAAACCTAAAATTAGTAAAATCATTCACGGGTGATGTTGTCTTTAACCTTCTCCAACACCATGGAGACGCTGCCACCTGGCTTGCCACAGGAGTGGGTCCACGGCTGAGCCCCCCACCGGAGCCTACCTCCTGGATGTGAGCCACGATGCCAGCCTGGGTCTCAATGTCCAGCTGTTTGATTCTTTCAATGAACTCCTCTTTCCTCTCACACTGTGAAGGGTTACAAGTGTCAATGGGAGCATTCTTCAGTGCTGTGCACCTGGGGCTGTGCCCACTGCCTCAAGTCATAGAGTTGCAAGATGAACGCCCACCCAGGCCTGGCCTCCTTCCTAACCAAGGCCGCCTTGTCACCCCACCAGCACTCAGACTGAGGCTTCTCTCAAAGTTGCTCCAATATCCACAGGAGCCTGTTTTTCAAAGCCCATCCTGAAGCCTCTCCCAGATGGAAAACATGGGGGTGGGACACAGAAGTATGTGCTTCTAGCAAGCTCTTAATAAGGAAAGATTCTTAAGTAAGGATGCAAAAGCCTGGCCACAGGGCAGAGGCAGGCTCCATCTGTAAAAGGTCAGCATTTTAGACTGCATTTGGTCTCTGTCACAACTACTCAAGTCTGCCACTTCACTAAGTAGCTAGAGAGAATATGTAAATGGTGGGGTGGGCATAGCTGTGCTCCAATAAAACTTTATTTACAAAAATAGGGGGCAGTCAAATCTGACACATAGCCTGTGGTTTGCAGCTCTTTGCTCCTCTGGAAAGGTATTTCCACAATAAGGACAATTTGCTAATGGTACTTCTTAGACAAGGTGCCCCCCTAAGAGGTAACCATTCTCTCACTCCAACCCAGCGCCCCTGTCATGCTGGACTGAAAGTAGCCTCATTCTCACCCAACCTGAGGGCGCCATTTAGCCCCACAATTCCAAATGCAGGCCACTAAGGACAGAAGCTTCTCCACCCATGCCCGAGCCCTACCTGGACAGCACAACCCAGCACCAGCAGCAGCACCTTCTTAATCTCCTCCATGCTCTTCCCTGGATCAAAACAGCAACATAATTAATTAAGCTCAACCATTTATAAAATTTCCCCAATGATGCATGTTTGTCCTAAGGTGAAAATGAATCAGATAAGCTAAAGAAAACATTCTCTCCACCTACAGTGAGTTTGTCAGAGTTAGTTGTACACACTCCACCTTTTTGCTAGGTCTGGGTTTATTTCTTTTTTATGTTTTTTTTGGTTTTTTTGGTACTGGGGAATGAACTCGGGTCTTTGTGCTTGCAAGGCAGGCCACCAAACCGCTAAGCTAAATCCCCGGCCCATTATTTCATTTTTTAAAAGCAAATAAGCATTCTGCACATAACCACCTGAAGCCCTTTCCTATTCAAATGTATCATAAATATTTCTCCATGATAATTAATGAAGCAGGACCTCAGCAACAATTTTAATGTGTGTAGTACAGGAGAGAACAATCCCCACAGGAGAGACTGAGTCAACTGTTTACAGTGTTATCTATTAGTAAAAATTTCAAAGTAGGGAAGACAAGATTAATGAATCCCCAAATACAATCAGTTTCACATTATTAACATTTTGCACATCTAAGTACATCTCTATTCCCCCGCCCCTTTCTTGCGCGGGAGTTTCAGTGTTTGGCTGGAGAAGTCTCAAGCAAATCATGCAACACATTTACATCTTTTTTTATTTTTGGTACCAGGGATCAAACTCAGGTCCTTGAGCTTGCAAGGCAGGAGGCAGGCCGTGGCACCGCTGAGCTAAATCCCCGGACCACATCATTTTTGATAGCCACAAACTTACAACTAACTATCTTCCAGAGGTTCACTTTTCTTTTCCCCCACAGTACCAGGGATTGAAATCAAGACCTTGCACTTGCAAGGCAGGTGTGGCACCACTGAGCTAAATCCCTGGTTCAGATTCACGTTTTTTGATAAACTATAAAGAATATCTTAATGGTTAATTCTTTATATATCCTTATCCACTTCCTTGGAACCAACTCTTTTTTATGTTTCTCTTGTGGACAAATTATCCTGCAGATGGATTATACCATTTTCTCCTGTGAACTAGGTGATAAATTTTCATTGTCCTACCCTTAGACCAATACTTGTCTTATTATTCTTCCTTGATATTATCAACCTGATGGTCAAAAATCATATTTCACCATTTTAAATAGTTTCTCTTTGACTATATTTAAGGCTAAATGCATCTCCATCTGTTTATCTGTCTCACTCTCCTACACAGAGTCAGAAAACCTGCCTCTAAACCTGGCTTGGTCACACAGGAATGCCGACTCTTCCTCCAATCCTCAGTTTTCACATCTATAAAATGGAGGTAGATGTATGGGGCTCTCTTTTAATTTAAAAAAAAAGCTACGATTTTCTGCCTTTTTCATCATATTCTGCTGTATCTTGGGAAATGGAGGCATGGCACAAACAGCACCATTCTTTGGAAAGACTCAGAATACCCACTTACCCTGTGTAAATTGGCCCAATTTATCAATCTAAAGTTTGCCAGGATATAAACCAAACTTCTGGCCCAAGAATTCATGCCATGGTTCACTGTGGGCCCTTAGGTACAGGGAATGTATGAAAAACCAAGTAACCCTTGCCTGACTCCCCTCCCCTGAGACATAGCTGAATACATCTTCTCCTTCAATACTGAAATCACTGTTGAGCTGCAGAACTGGGAGCTGGGGGTGCACAAACCAGAGCCATACCTGCTCCTGGCCTGAGGTGGGCAGGAGCAGCTCAGGTGGTTGTTCCACAGGGTCTGGGCCACATCCCTGCTCTCCAGGACACATCAGAGCTTCCGAGTAGTGGATCAATGAACTATGGCTAAGCCTGTGTCGTTATCCCAATTGCTGAAACTCATTAATATTTGAAATGGAAAAATTCTCCATGTCCTATTTTTTTGTCTTACATGAAGGCTTTTCTTTGTCTAAGAGGCTCTAATCCATAGATCACGGATCACCACAATGACACACTTTTCTATTAACACTGAATGACTGATGAGCTGCTTCATTTCAGTTTTGGTAATGAGCAAAAGGAGTGCCCACCCAAGTATTAACAAAGCCTTGAATCTGAGTAACTGTGCTCCCTGTCTGGCCCAGCCCTCATTACCAACCCTATTCCTTCCCTCTGAGGGTCCACAGACCATTGGCAAGTGCCTCTACCATGCCCTCGGAGGATTTAACAGGTTTAGACCCCTCCCAGTCTTTGGGGCCTGTCTTCCTACAGTGACACCCCTTTGCACAGGCCACTTACCTGGTGCCATAACCACCTGAGCTAGGACAAAGGGAGAAAGTGCTTTAAGGGCTCAGAGCAGCCCATGCAGAAATCTTTATGTACTCTAGTCACAGCGGAGTCCCCAAAGGATGTAATTCTATTATCCTTCAGAACAAGCAGACTAAAACATTGGAGAGAGGCTAGTTAATGGGGACAAAGTCACAGCTAGATGGGGGGAATGAGCCCCGGTATTCTAGTACACAGAGATACATCAGACATTCAAAATAGCTGGGGGGAATTGGGGGAACCGAATGTTCTTATCACAAATAAAGGATAAACATTTGAGATGGTGGCTGACCCAAGTATCCAGAGTTGGTCAACTAACACACTGTCCCCATAAAAGTGTGCAACTGTGATCTGTCAACTGAAAATGAGTAAAATTAAAAGCGGGAGTGTGTGCTAAAGAGCCCTACTGCCAGCAGCAAAAACAGAAGCTGGTGTTCTGACAGCAAGGAGACTAGAATTCTGCAAGCTGAAGAGCAGGAAGACTCACAGAGGCCGCTGGGCAAGAGCCAGGGCTCCACTCCTCCAACCCTGCATCATCCACAACAACACCCTGGGCCGCTCACTCACCCCAACAGCCACCAGGCATCAAGAGAAAAGCTAAAACTGATCCCACGCAGTTAGAAAAGTGTGGGCTCCTTGTGTTAAGTTGTCACACAGGGAGGAGAAAAAGGTTTTAAGGCAAAGAATTAAGTTCAGAAAAGTCTTCATGAGGAAACATACAACAACAACAAAAACCTCAGTAATGAAAACGGTGCTTAAAATCCAGTGCCTTGCTCTTTCTCCTGGGCTGAGGAAATAAAAATCTTCCATTTAACAACCACATCCGAGACCTGACCCTCATTCCTTTGGGGGAGCAAGCAGCAGTAGTTCTTTGCTTTCTTATGAGAAGCCAAGGCGCAGTTCTTTGAGGATTTCTGTAGCAAGCAAGCACAGTTATTTTCATCGATCTACCTGGCTGTAGGTTCTGAATAGTTTCAAAACACAGCACAAGACTCTGCTGGATCCCTGCTACAAGATCAGCTCAGCAATGCAATCTACCAGGCCATGAACCACGCCCTGCACAGTGTCTACTACGTGTGGGGCCCTGACGGCATGACCACTGTGAGCAGCTGTCCAAGAGCAGCTGGACCAGGACAGACATGAGACCAGCAGGCCGCTCAATGCAATAGTAACTGCAAAAGGACTTCAAGTTTGCGGTAACAATCAAGCAAGGCTTTCTGAAGGAAAGACTGGGCTGAGACCCAGGACGAGGACAGCTGGGCTTTGAGGCCCAGGGAACAGCATAGGCAAAGGCCTAGACATAAGATTTCTCAAATTATAAATGCTTTGTGGTTAAGCTTCCTGAAGTGGGCTTTCAGAGTGAGAACTGGGTGGGGTAAGAAAGGATGTGGATTTCTATGACAGGTGAGTCACCAGCAACCCCTGGGGGGTTGGAAACATTAGACACCCTCTGAATCTGCAAAGGGCTACCAAGTGTAGGGGATCCCCAGGGGGATCCCAGACAGCCTGGGTCAGTGGCTGAGTCTAAGAAAAACCTTACTACCTGCCTCCCCAAGTCCTGATGCAAAGAATCCTGGCCCAGCCCTTCTGGGCAGGATGAGAAGCTGAACATCCAGCTTGTCTGGAAGGCAGAGAAGCTGATTTGAGAGATGCATTAGAGTGACATGTTTATAGCCACCACTCCCAACACTGAAGGGAAACTCTAAAATCACACAGATCGAAAGCATAGACACAGGAACAAAAAGAGAGTTGGAAAATTATGACGTACACCTTCCTCTAAAATGTGGAAGCTAGATTAAAGCAGGAAAGAGATTCCTGGCCTGTCTAACCCTAAATCTGTGGCAGACAAGGTTAGTCAATGATACCATTTTGTTACTTAGTGTGGAACTGGGTTGTCTCCTTCTAAACACAGGACTCTACAGACTGCCCCTCGAAGGATGTTGGCACACACAACAAAACCCATCTTCCTTGACTTACACAAAACCTCCCAAGCCCCCTTGGGCTCTACTTTTTAAATCTTTATTAGAACACATCTGTACACTGCATTCATTGTGGGGACCTGGTACATGTCCTCGACATATCTCAACCCTACAATCCCTTCCCCCGCCATCTCTCTGTCCTCTTCCATTGGCGAAAGATCTATCTCCCCGTTTCCTATTATCCACCTTGTATTTTGCTCTTAAATGACATACACTTTGGGTTTCTCATATAGGAGAATGTTTTGTACAGCATCTCTGGTTCTCTTAAGTAGGCATTTAAATGTTCAGGACACATTTAAATCTCTTACCCAGCTTCCTTACACCCAGAAGTTACCACATGTGGTCCTGGTTTCTAGATACAGAAACTTAATCCTGTCAACTCTAAATGGTGACTGAGGCATGAAGCCAGGGATTCGGGATGAGGCAGGCAAGCCTCACTTCCCAAGAGGGAGCCCTTCCTGCCCCAAACCAACCGCAACCCTCTGCCCTGCAGAAGTCCAGAAGGATACACTGTGCTTATCTGACCTACGAGGGTCAGAGAAGAGCTGATTCCTGTCTTGCTAACCTCAGGACTGAGGTCTGAGCCAGGTACACCTGGAAGGCCTGACGGATTGATCTGCAGAGCTGAGCTGCCATCCCCCAGCCCTACAGACCACCACTACTGCACCTACACACAGCACACTGTCCTTCCTCTTTACCCCAAAGCAATCCAAAAGGACAGCATCATTATCTTCATCTTACAGAGAAGAGCCC